CAAGGCCGTGCAGCAAAGCAGAGGATGAGCTGGGATCAGGAACGTCTGCCTTCTAGTCCCATAGTTAATCCACTACAATGTGTTGCTCCAGAGTGAAGCTCGAGCCATTAGTGGTTAGATATGTGAAATGCATTTTATTGATAGGGAGGCAGGCATTGTGTAATTGCTTGAAGAGCATGACACCAAAGAATGAATTATAAATAACGTTATGCATTGCTGCTACTCAGTTAGCAGTTTGTACACCTATTTGGCATCCTGTTTCCCCTGTGATTCGTTATTCAGCTTTTTCTGGTTTGGTTTTTTTTGTTGTTTTTCTTTTCTTTCTAAATCAGCACAGAAAGCAGAGGCAGAGCTGTGTGCATTAAGAAATCCGAAGCTGTGGCAAATACTCATCAGAGCAGATTAGATAGCGGAACACTGCCAGCAAAAGCCACAATAAAACTACCTCAGTGAACTGCTACCTTCAGTTACTGATAAGAAGAAGAAAGACCATTGTCCTCTGCTGTCACTTGAGCCAAATTTACTTATTTTTTCATTATCTAGATCAGATAAGTTTTTATCTTTCCTTTTCCATAAGGCAGTTCCTGTGATTTTGTGACAGACAAACATGCAGCACAATTAAATCTTAATAGCAGTGCTTATACTGAGTCATAGAAAAATGTTTCCTGAGTGTTTAGATCAACGCATGCAAAACCACAAAAAAAAGGTGGGTGTAGGTCCCAGGTATGTAAGCTGCGTGCAAAGGAGGGCACTATTAAGAGGGAAACACTGTTTAGCCAGGTGTAATTGAGGGAGCATGTGAACATGGGGATCTTGAAAAAAAATAACACATTTTTTTCTGCCATTTTCCTTTTTCCTGCGCAACGGGAAAAGATTGTGCTAGGTTTTCCCCTTTACTAGTTCAGTCCCTGTTTCACTGATAGTGACTCCACCGCAACCTCATTTCTCACAGCAAGTTCTTTTTAGGCTGAAGATAAAGAGGAGTGAAAGGAAGTTCCTGGATGATGGATATGGAAGAGCGTTTTGTGCTGAGCCCGTGTGCCAAGGGGGTGTTGTTCTCCTTGTGTGTGTGACTGAGGACATGAGTGTCACTATTTTGGACACATTCAGGAACAGGACAATTGGAGCTTAAAGCCACCACACGGATGAAGTTACTCTAGCCAAAACGAAAGGAATTGAAGGCTGAAATAAGGAGTAGAGCAGCGCAATGGCTGAGATAACAGCATCTAATCCTGAGGTACATCAGAAGCAAGGACAGTCACAGGTTTCAGAGTCAAAGCCAAGCACCTTCATCATTACAGCCATGACAAAAAAAAAAAAAAAAAAAAAGATGTGTCAAGCAGAAAGTTTTGGATCACTTTTTTATTTATTTACCCTTCTGGGATATACTCACTTGCCACAGGATGCAGCGGTGCAAGGAAATAGGAAAACTGAGGCAGGCAGAAAAGAAGGAAGAGACCAGGGTGCATCAGAGGTGGCAGCAATGGCCAAACCACTCTTGCCTAGCGTGTATCACCAAGCTCAGGCAGCGTGGAGCAGGCTGACAGGTACTGAGGTCAGAGGCTGCCCTAAAAAATACTTAATCTTAAGGCCTGTCTATGCTTATCTGCTGCTGGTGGAAATCTCCAGCATTGCAAACAGAGCCTGAAAAAATGAAGTAACTTGGAAATGACCAGAAGCTGCCAGCAGGCACGGAAAGAAATGCTCGCATTTATGTACTCGTAAAAAGTCAGCAGGAGTCTCAGTCTTGTCAAAATACCTTCCTCCATTATTTGCATTAAAAACACAATATTTAGCATAGGGCTGGGATATTGCATAATAAATCAGGGACACGCAGTGCTGTCAGAGAAACAGCTTCCCATAGAGGTCACCGTGATGTTTCTCTAAAGAACTGATGGCCATTGCTGTTTCTGTGATCAGTTGCTTATCAGGGCCAAAGGGTCAAACCATTTATAAATAAGTTCACAGGAAGAACTGGAATAATGACCAAAATCTCAGTCATAAAAATCTGAAAAGCAGATTAGCAGGCTAATGTTGTATAATAAATAATTTGCTGAAAATTATTTACTCGGCTGAACAGGTTGATTCCCTTTGCACTTCCGAACTACTTGCTGTCTGTATCACCGCATCATTTCTGAGATTCTTAGCCACTGCTAAGGCATAGTCAAAATAAAATGTGTTTTTCCTCTTGCTTGGGAAATGCTACCAAGTACATGGAGTTCTGTAACAGGTACATCCTGGTCAATACACTGCATGGTGTAGAGGAACCGCTGTCCCCATATGCTCCCAACATGGGTGAAATGCTGCAGGTACCCAGAACCGAAATGAACCGTAACAACACTGGCACTTGAGACAGGGTGCAGATTGCCTGCTTTGGGGGTGTCTGGTGGAGGCGTTGTGAGGTTATAAAACAGGTGATTGGCTTTCAGAGCACCTACACAAGGCATCAACACCCCCACAATATCGTCAACACGGAGTCAAATGCTCTGAAGTTCAAAGGGCAGAGCCACCAGCTTCTCAGAGGCGGCTGCTTACCTGCTGGGTACATGGCTGTGAGTCATCTCTGCTCTCCTTCCAGCCTGACGTGGGCTTCTGACATGTAGCTGTTCATTAAAATATAGTTCTGGGAAAAGAGAGGAAAAAAAAAAAAAAAAAAAAAAAAAAGTTAGATTCCCAACTTCCCATGGTGGAAAATAAGAGATCAAGTACTTTGTTCTGAGCTTACCTATTTCTACCTATTTTAAAACCCAGGGCGTGTTGTCCTCTTCCTCTTCAGCCTTCACTATGTTTAAAAATTAAAAATGTGACAGCCTGCAGCAGCAGTGCCACAGCCACCCGTATCTGGTATAAAGCCTAGTGGTTAGAGCACTGACTCAGGAAGCCAGATACCTACGTTTGCTAATTCTGGAACACAAGGCTAGGATGCAAAAGATACCCAGGAGTGGTCCTACAACATCCTTTTCTTCTTCTTCTTCCTCCTATTCTTGTATTTTGGATTGGCAAGTAACAATTACACCTCCCTTTTATCCTGAATCCGTGTTGTCAGGTGTGTTTTAGCCATTTTCATGGCACAGATAAGGTTCAAGCCCCGGAGGCGAGGGTTGGGTATTTCTCCCCACGGTTTCTGGATGAGAGCAGAGGCTGGTGGGAGGCCGCAGCCACGTGGCTTTTAGGTGAAACAAAGTGGAAAGTAGTAAGTTTTAGGTGTCTGTGAGATTGGTTGGAGGATGCCTGGCTGCCTTTCGCTTCAGTGCCTGGATACTGTAGGTTCTAACCAGAGTTTTAGTAGTCTGCTAAATTTCCCACTGACAAAAATTCAGCGCGCAAATAACTTGTCATCTTCATCCTCACCAACTGTATTTTTGCCTGCCCTATTGCTTAGTTGCTGAAAAGAGACCTTTATGAAAAGAAGCATACAAAATGTGTAGTCATGACTTTTCAGTAATGTCTTGCTGTTTCTATCAGCTTTAGGAATAAATATTTTTCCAGTAAGTCACAGATGATTATAATTTAATTGACATGGGAGAGAACGGTCAATGTTAGGGTTTCCAGTTGCCATTTTTCCAGTGCATATTGATTTCACTTAAGGGCTAATGGGGTAGGGGAGGTTTTGTCCCAGTGCCCTTTGATGAGGTACTGACACAACTGTGATATAAAATCTGTACCTAGTGATACCATGGGACAGGTACCTGAGATATGTTTCTGAAGAAGGAAGAGACTCTACACAGACAGTAGAAAAAAAACAGTATCAGGTTGTGATAGAGCTAATAACTTAGATTTTGGAAATTCTTTACATCATTTTGTCATCTTGGTAGCAGATTCCTGTGTGTCAGAAATTTGAGATTTAACAAATGACAAAATCAAGCAAACAGTAAAGAAGACCGATATTTACTATGCACTCTAAGCAAGGAAATGTGAGAGGTTCAAAAGATGCAATGCAAAATCGGAGGAGAAAGTAGATTATTTCTAGTTTTCCAAAGGCCAATGGAAAGCATTATTATATAAATCAAGAGAAGTTGCTTTGAAATTTTCCTTTTCACTTTCAACAATTGATGTGCCAACCTGGCCACTTTAATTGAGCATTATAAAGGATCCAAAATGTTTCCAGTGCAAATGCAAACGCAACTGCTAGCGTGCTAGAACATTTTTATGATTCATGTTATTATTCTAATATTTTTGCTAGTTTCTTGGGCGTTGGCCTCAGACTAATTTCATGGTACATTTGAGGTCTAAACCACAGAGAGAAGGACTGAAGGGGGTTATTCATGCACTTGGCTTTCTACAGGTTTTTCTTTTTTATTTTTTTTCCTAACGCGGTGGGACTGCTTCCAAAAGCCAGCTGTGTGATGCTTCTTGTTTGAGCACATGCAGTAGATCAGAATTTGTCAGTGAAAAGGAGCATTCCATGTAATCCGAATCCCAGCATAGGAGCTTATACTGCTATAATGTTGTATATTTGTGTTGTTCAATATTCCAAGCAATATTCTAGAAGATTATCTATTTTCCCTGGAGTCTCAGTTTTAAGTAAAAAGCATTAAAGGGTAGGTTTTTCAGTGATGTGTTGGGAATAATATTACTTAAGCAGCAGAATTCTGGGAGCAGACATTTGCTCCAGCCTCTATTTCCATCTTGTGCAATGTCTGCCTACTCTAGAGAGTCGTTAATGTTTTACTTTTGGTGAGTGATTATTTTTTAATAAGAAAATATGATCCACCATGATCCAGAATTACCACCAAGTGACACCTGGGCCCTTAAGCTTTGACTCTGCTCCCATGCAAATTAATGGCAGAGCTCCTAATCACTTGCTTAGCATTAGTTGGGACCTCTACAGAGCAATTTCAGTTTAAGAAGGAGTTTTGAGCGAATGGGAAAATCCTAAAGTCCTTTCCACACTGAGGCTATGTGCTTACTTTGCAGTAAGTGTTCCTCAAGCTTGTCTAAGTCCCCTGCAATTGTTTGGGGTAACTTAAAATTCCTAATTGTCTGTGTTCAATTTCCAGAGAGAGCATGTGGGGCTGTGCCAGGTCAGCTGTTAACCCTTTTCGTTTTTTCAACTCCAGGTATGAAGCATTTTATTGTGTATTATATAATGTTCTGTTTTATTGACAAAGTCTAGTAGTAGTGCTTTTCAGTTTTCTTTCCCTCTTTGTGTCATGGCTGGGGGATATGAGGGGCTGGGCAAGTTCCAAAGTTGATTTTTGCTATTGTTTTTTATATTTTGGGGCTGGGAGGGTGGTGGTGTGTATCACGGGAAAGCTGCAATTTTTTTTTTTTCCTAATCCCAATGACTAAAATACAAGAACAGAAAAAAAAATCCTGTCTTGGATAAAATATATATTATATATATATATATAAAATATATATATAATATATATAAAAATAATGCAGTTTAAAATGTTCAAAATAGTCTACTGAAATTGAGTAACGAAGTGAATGTGAATCAACATAGCTCATGTTACAATGGGTCATTGCCAGTTAACGTGAAACGGTCAACAAGCAAAGCTGTAACATTTAGGAGGAGGTCTTTGCAGACATCTCCTTGCTTTTTTTTTAAGGAGGACAAAATTTTAAAACCGTACTGTGTAATGCACCTAGCAGATGCCCTGCTTCAGAGTGCAGAGTTTCCATACAAATTCAGCAGGGGGGTGACTGGGAGGTTTCAAGGAGCTTTGTGATGCCATAAGGTGCCTTGGGTTCACCTCGCTTGCCCAAGTAGAAATGATGTCATAAGACTGAAGAGATGTACCAATGCTCATAGAGTTCCTGGTTTTGTTGCATTCATTGCTGTTGTTTTGTTGGGTTTTAAAATAGTGTGCAAGTGATTAGCTCGCTTGCTTGCTTGTTTGTCCTTCCCCTTCTTTTGTTTGTTTTGTGGGCCCCTAAAAAGGTTCCTTTGGAGTCGTGCTCATTGTGTGACAAGTGTAAGCCCATCAACTCACTGCTTTTATCAGCTCTTAGTAATCCATGGTCCCTCCATCTGTGGAGCACAGAAGGAAAAACAACTTCACACATTCAGTGTAAACAAATAAGTTGCAGAATAAATCTAATTCTTCACATTTACAAGTAGAGCTAAGCTTCGTAATAAAATTAAGAAGACAGCATGTTTAAGAGCAATTAAACTTTCAAATTGCTAATGAGTAGTCAAATACAGAAATCGTTCCTCAAATCTACTCCTATCTTCAATTTGCAGTTAATTGCATTACAACTGGTATATTTATATTAAAAATTTGCAGGATCTTATTACTGAAACATTTTCAAAGTAGCAGTAGCAGCAGCAACTTCTCTGTTAAAGCCAATACAAATCTTCTAAGGTTTCCTTGGTTACAAAATTGAGATGATACATCTATGCTTTAAAATCCTTAGAATTTTCTTTGATCTGATCAAAATCATCAGTGCAACTTCAGAAATTATTCTGAAGAGCCTACTGTTTCCCAAAATGCTGTGTTTCTAAAATAAATATATATATTTCAGATACACTTTTGAATGCAGGCTGTTAGCTTCTGTTCTACAGGAAACATTTTCAAGAAAGAGGCTTATGTTGTCAATTTTTTGCTCTTCTTTTAATGCTGTCAATATTTTGCTCAAAAAATTGCTCATGGATTTACACGTGAAGTTTATGCCTACTGTAACAATGAATATGAGATCCTCCTAATGAGGCCCCCTGAACAACATGCATGGTTAGATGTAGATGAAGGTGGCATCATCTCATGTACCAATTCTAAACCACTGCAAGTTTGTTGGCTGTGAATGGAATGAGATGAGGCTGAAATGTAATATTTTGGTGAGGCAAAATGCTGCTAATGAAAACAGAAACTTGGAAGAGAGATACAGGGTCTTCTATGCCTTTTAAAATAAAGGACCAAATTGTTCGAGAAAGTCACATCTGTCAAACCTCATTTAGGCCATGTGGACTTGTCTGTAGAGTGGAAGGTGAAAATGAGGCCAATGAGATGAATATTTAAGTCAGTGTATCATTTGAAAAGCATGAATTCTTATGGTGCACTTAAAACTGCTAGGAGTATTCATCACAGCTGGTCTTGCTTCTTGGAGTATGGCGCTATTGCAGCTTAGGAACAGTAACTGCTTGTCAGAAGTGACATCTACTACTATTAAATACTGCTACGTGAGCGTATATATTTCATTTGAATGAAATTTTCATGGATGCCCAGTTGTTCGTGTTAGGTTTCTTAATTTTGTATCACTAAATAAACTTCAAGAAAGTTGTTCTTCCATAAAATACGCTCAAAATTACGCTCAAAATTACTGTAAAGAAACATTCTTAGGTAATTGATTTTCTTTGTGGTGGTAGGGGAATGGATCACAAAGTCTTGAAGAAACGCTTTCTGTAGGCTCCTTTCCCCTCTTTTTTGTTGGGCTCAAGAAATCTGGTAAAGGCTGTAAGTTTTACTCAAAACAGATCCCACAGAAATGTTCTGCACTCACTGACCTCCGTGGATGGCCACGGGCTGGGACTGTTGCTCCAGTTCATACATGTCTAACCGTTCTTCTCCTGTAAAATGCTGAGCGTTTTGTCCATACGGCCTCCCCTGATCCAGAAGGGACCCGATCCACCGTTCCACTGTGACAAAGTGATATGATGTGTGAGTTTCAGAATTTGACGGGCACAGTGTGCCTCTTCGTCCTTGGTGTCTCGCAAACACTACTGCTTTTGCTTTTGCATAATTTGCCCCTGTTCTTCTTTTTAACACCTCATTCCACAGCCTCGGCCAGATGGGAGATGTTTGGCAGCTGGAGGACCCAGATGCCAAATACTGGGATATAGCTTTCCTGCACTGGCATGTGGGTTCATGGCTGGCTTTTTGGCTTACACCTCTGCTAGCTTCTTGGCTAGCTGTCTGGCTGGCAGCTGTAGCACTGCCTCTGGGGCGATGTTTGGGTCAAGCTGCTATGGAGTTGGATGACTCTCCCGCTCTGAATTACCCTGCCGGACACCATTTTCACCTTAGTTTGCTTTGACTCTCCACTATTCAAAGACGAACGTTCGCACGATTCTGTTTTATTCCTGCCATTTGTAAGACTAACTCGAAGCAGTAGTTCTCATTTGTCACCCGTTCAAAAAGAAAATAAGCATTGCAGAGCACGCTGTTTCACTTGTTAGGATTCCCATTCAGTCAGTAGGAATGTTAAGGCCCGAGTCTGTACTTGGAATTCATCTCTGGAACCAAATTGTAACTACAGAACACAGGCTTTAAAAAAGACGTATTTCTTATGTCTAAACTTTGATTGCTTTCAGCCGTGAGTGAATCTAGCTTCTGTCAAACAGGAAAAAAGTACACATTTGGGAGACAATCTGGATCATTTTTAAAGAAAAAGGATAAACAATAATGAAGATGATAATAAATAGAATGTTACTGGTAATAATTAAGAGAACTGCCAGAAGAAAATGCTTGGTCTTCTCTTTGCTTGATTTGGAATGCCCTCATTACATGCTTTAGTTTTACCTCAGTTTTTTGGTTTTGTTTTTTTTCATAAATGAGGTAATGAAAAATTAATGCATCTAGGATAGCCAAAACATTTGAAGTTATTCCCTGATCTACTCCTTCTCCTCTGTGCAGCTCAGTGCATAAACATTACTTTCAGTGGGAAAAACTGCAAAATCAGGAGGTCAGTAAGACTCCAGATACTTACAGTAAAGTAGAGATTAGTCATACCTGCTATGAAATTTTCATTCCCTCCCTCAGCTGTAGTGAGAGTATGTTGTGGTATGCCAGAGGCAGTGATAACTCTATTACATACTCACAAAAAACTTTTTTAACACTTGAGCAAATAGGACTTGCACCTCACTTGCACACAAACCTGTATGTTTAACCTGTGTGTTAACCTGTATGTTAAGGTTAAGCTTTGCAGGGTGATCTGACCTCTGAGGAGAAGCACCTGAATTCATTATAACCACTGGAGAGAGTCTGAGGAGCAAGCAAAAAGGAGACCCTACCCATGTAGTTTAAGCATATACTCCTCTTCGCTGACTGCCTAGGGAACATGAGTGCTTCCATAGCAATACAGCCCAGTTACATTAGATAAATCATTATGGACTGTACAGGGAACCGGTAGGAACTAAGAGCATCTGTTTCACTCAGAAGTAGTCTGTATAGCCCTTTCTGAATGGTAATGGAGCAGGGGTGACTCTTTTGAAACACAAGCTGGCAGCAGCAACAGCAATATTCCCACCTTTTGCAGAAGAGCTTCATTAACTAGCTTGTCAATGAAGTAGGAGACCTGAGTTTTAGGTTGTCAGCACAATCATCACAGAGGTGTTTTAGTCATTAGGATCCTTCACACAGGCCTAATCACATGAGATACTTGGGGAGCAGTGGAGTCTCTCATCTTCATTCTTGCTGAATATGGGCCATTGTATGGACAGGAGCACAGAAGTCACAGGATGGGAAGGAGAGTGGGTAAGAAGAGCCTGAATCCTACCTGAGCATGGAGAAGACTGGGACTGTAAGCTTCGTTCTCTGGAGCAATATTAGACCAGAAACAGCTATGGATATTGAAATGGAGCTTTCACCATTCCCCTCTTGGAGCCAATTGTCCATATTTCTAGTACAGACCCAGGATGCCCTTTTCTACCCAACCTTTCAGCCTCATAGTTCTTGCATTCCTGATGTCAGAGTAGCCTTGCTTCCATGGTCACTTCATGCAAGAGATCCCAATTCTTCATAGATGGATTATTCCTGGGATGGAGGAGATGCTGAATCAACCCTTCTGTCTGAGAAGGACCTGCAACCAAAGTCCCTCCTTCCCAGGGCAAATTACTTGACCATAAGGCTACAATACCACAGTTGCCACCATCAAAACTCTGCCTGCCTTTTGTGATCTTCTTCACAAGACAGGCAAAGTTCAGGACGTTGCCTTGCCTGTAGGTGGAAAATGATAGCCTGCCAGAAAGATCATGTGTGAACGTATTCCTTGTGGTAGGTGCCTGAAGAAGCTCTGGCATAACAGTGAAGGACCTCATGAGTTCAGGGACATGATGGGTAAGCATGTTCATGGAGCAGTGGGTGGGAATTCAGTAATGGACCTAGGAAGGTTTGTTGGG